ACTCAATCCTGAGCAGCACCCTCCTCCCCATGAGGCTCCTGAGTCCTGGGGTCCTGACAGAGCAGAGCTCCCCTCTCCCTTGAAATCTCACCAATGAAAAGCACAGCGATGAGGGTGGAGGTCATGGTGTCTCCTCGCTCTGGTGCAGAGTGAATGCGATGGTGCCGTCTGGGCAGGCACAGAGGGTGTGGGCACTGGGAGACTGGCCTGCCCTCTCTCATGGTTGTCACGTCAGCAGTTCCTCATGAAAGGGAACAACGTCTATCTAGCACCCTGGTCCTCATTTTCATGGTGAAGCAAATAATAGACCCGGAGCCTCCTGAGACATCCCTTGTGGGTGAGGTGACCCAGGGCACCTTCTTCTCTGTCAGAGCCTCCCCCACGGGGTCTCCTTCCTCTCAGCCCGCTCCATCAGCACCTCCCTGCGATCCTCACCATAGACAGTGTCACCAAGGTCCTGGAAACGCTTCAGGAAGATGTGGATCCCTGTGGCCTGCAGAGCTCAGATCAGCAGAGACACACTCACCCTCTCACTGCACAGCTCAGGGCGATGTCCCTGTGATAGTGAGCACTGAGTGGAAACACAGAAGAAATACAGGAAGGAAACAGGTCCCTTCTATGGCCCCAGATTATAGCTTTCTCTCTATCACACCCCCTCCATGGACTTCTCCTTTTTCTTGCAACGGCATCCACCCCAGTTTCCTGGAAATAAGGTATGGCTCATTCCTGCCTCCACAGTGATCCTTGTTCCTTAAGCAGAGCTGTCCCCTCATCCTGTCCTCCTCTCTTCAGCTTTTGGGCTCAATAAGGGGTCCAGTGCTCTGATGTTGGGGACAAAGCTCATATTTAAATATTTCACTATCATTTATGGTCTGTGTGACTTGAGCAGTACTGGCCAATCTCTGCACTTCGGATTCCTGGTGTGAAGCACGTAGGCATAAAGCCAGATTCTCAGAGTGTTGTAGGATCAGTGGTGTCTGGGATGTGGGCACGATCAGCCCTTGATAATTTGCAGACCTGTTAAGATGTGTGAGATGAGACATAAGAGGATCAAGGTGTCTCACTTCACAGTCAAAATGAGGGATGGGTGTGTCCACTCAAGAGCCCTCACCTGTTCCTACTTCTGAGAAATAATATTTCTAAAGGATGCATCCACACTCAATGCAGCAGAAGTGAAATGGGAATTCCCCAAACAGAGAGGGAACCACAACAAATAAAAGGGATCAAGCGAGTGGCCACTGGTGACCAGAACTGGTCATCTGTGAGGAGTTCTCCACCTCCATGTGGACAGGAGAGGGACTCCACCGTTGTCACAGGCAGGGAGGGGATAGGGCACAAGGTGATAGGTGGGTTGCCCCATTTCTCATGCTTGAGAATGAGCACTGAGGCATCTCTATGCACTGACCCAGCCCAGGATAAGCACTGAACCCTGTGTGTGTGATTGCGTGTGTGTGTGTGAGTGTGATTGTGTGTGTGTGTAAAAAATTCAATCCAACCTAGTCCAACAGCAGCATCTGTCCAGGTGTAAGTGTGAGGCTCACATTGCAGCCATCCCTGCTGGGCACATCACAGTCAAAAGCTGAGTTTGGGAGAGTGGATGCTACAACTCTCCATCCCCTTCAGATTCCAACATCAGGTGAGCCCTGGGAGTAACCCTTTGTGGAGAATCAGGTGTGAGTGTGTATAAGAAATAGACGTCAACAAATAATCTAATTATGAAAAATAATGCTAAGAAGGGCTGCCTAGAGAGTCTTTAATGCAGGTAATCATATATGAGACAACAGACCACTAGGAATATAAGAAACGCATTTTAATAAAAGATTTTTGAACTGACAGAAACAATGAAGGTGAAAATTGAAATATTGGAACAACCCCAGGGCTTATATGATAAAAGTGTAGAGAATTTTGGAAAGGCATTACTTAAACAACATAGTGGTAAAAAGGAATAAAAATAAAAACATGGTTTGATTTAACACTCTCAAATATTTTGTTTTCACCCAGGAGAAGATACAGCTGAAGATACAATAACAAAATTGGAAGACAACATTGAGGAAATTTTGTAGGATACAAGACAGAGAGACTGGAATTGAAAACTTTACATGCATGAGAATAGAGACATCTGGTCAAGATGGTTGTGTAAGCATGATAATTGGAACCTCCCACAACCACATCAAATTACAAGTAAACTACAGAACATCCACCATTCAGAACTGCCTGAAATGTAGCCCAACAGAAGTTTTATAACCGAGTATACACAGAAGCCACATAGAGACTGATAGACACGTGGGGAGGAAAATGGGGTGGTCCCATACCCATGTGTGGTAGTTAAACACTGGGGCGGGGGGCGGGGATACTTGGTTGTGAAGATCCTCCCTCAGTTGTGAGGGGTCCCAGAACCCCCAGCCCAGGGTTACAGTGCTGGGAAGAGAAATCCCCATAACTTTTGGTTGTAAAAACCTGTGATGATTGTGGTTGAGTGAGACAGAGGATTTCTGGAGTCCCAGCTGTTCCTCCTTAAAGGGCCTGTGAACACATTTACTTGAACTCTCTTGCCCTGAAGCACTCCAAGACCTACGTTGCAGCTTGAAAGCTACCAGGGACATACAGGGAGGACTTAAATATTGTTAAAACTAAAGCTGAGGGGGCAGATTTCTCCCAAACAGAAGTGCTGGCCGATGTACGGGAATAGACAGAGAAGGGCCATGTGTGTTGTTTCAGGAAGAATGAGGTGAGGATGACATTGGCTACACCTCCGGGCCAGTGGGTGGCTATTTTTCAGAGAAGCAGAGAGAACACGCAGTGTCAGGTGCATGAATATACACATGAAACGTGTGTCTTCTTAGTTCGTGTGAAGTGGAGGAAACAGATGAGAACTGACTTTATTGTACACCAGCTCTCCCTTACAATTAAAAAAAGGCCAATGGATATGGTAAAAGTATACTGAAGGGGTAAATTGTTAGTGAAGAATTTTATAAACACCCAAATTATTATATTAAAGGGCAAAGGGGAAGGGACCAGAGGGGGGAAATCTATAAGGATGAGGAGACAGTGGTCGGGACAGAAAGGGACACAGTCCAAGGGCAGAAGGTCCAGCCCTTGTCCCTGTACATGAGCGATGACTCCTCCATCTGCAAGGAGCCTCAGACAGGTCCCTCAGCATATGTCCTATGTTATCTTCCAGAACCTTCTGGGCACATGAGATTCATTCCCAAGGCTTCCCCTCTGAACAGGGCATTGTTCCCTCTGTGATCACGTCCTGGCTGCATCCTGGGTCTGTTTCTGGCTGTTTCGAGACCAAAATAGCAGCACCATAGCAGCACCCCGAGCACCCCCAGAACCAATCCAGCCACACTCAACCGGATGGAATTCTCCACGGTGTAGTCTTGGGCCTTGGAGGCTGGGAATTCTGGGCAAAGAGGTCACAGAGGACAGGGCAGGACAAACTCACCCACAACCCTGGATGTCCACCAGGGCATCCCCTCCCCTTGACAGGACATGACCTTCTATGCTCAACCCCATAACAGACAGTGTCTCCTACTCACCACTCTTGGGGTCTGAGTTGTTCTGTGATGGGATGATGGCGTCGGCTGCTCCTGGGAACCAGATAGGCGTGGGGCTGTGTGAGGTGTTGATG